AAAACTGTGTTCCGCAGTTGTTCCTATTAGACTTTCGAAGTTTTAAAGATACTTGAACTTCTCCCACTCTACATTAAATGTAACTAAATTTTGGGAGCTAAAATGTCGCACTGAGTTTCGAGAAAGTTGATGACCAGTGCTTTGATGGTTGTCTGCCAATGGGGAAAGAGAGGCAAAAAAGGCGGAGAAGCAAGAGACTGATTCGGCTTAAAATGGATCTCACAAAATGCTCAGAGGCTTCTTGAGCAGTGTGTCTTAACCTACAGTGTGAGAGCTACTGGTTCTGCAGTTGAGCACTCCTCTCTAGGCTCGTGGATTTTTTTGGCGTGAGGAACTGACTGATTCATTAGTGCATCTCTGCCTCTAATGGGTTGTGTTAAACAAGATAGATGTGTACAGTGGGTGCCTGACCTGATAGCGTGTACGAGCTCCTGAACTTGCTCATACCTGAAGTGCTGCAGTGCCTCACCTTAGGCACTTGGTCACTAGCAAAGGTGCCCACAAGCTTGAGTGCAGTACCCTGATAGCGTGAACCACGCACATGGATTCACGTGAGTGACTCACATGAAGCCTCCGAATCAATCAAACTAATGAGCATGGGTTTTTTAGAGCATCGAGAATGGTCCAGCATGGAAATGAGAAAAGGTTTTTTTGCATCACCATTGTGGATTCATTTACTTGCCTCTGTAGGATTCCTCAGTCTAAGTGCCTGAAATTCTCACTGCATATAGTTCTGTTTACCTGAGCTTTTCATTTTGTAACATACATTATGAAACAGTCACACCTGTGTGTTCTGGGTGGGTAGACAGCCCATACCTTAGTGCTGGTCAAAGATTTAAACTGGAGATTAAAACCAATAGAACAGGGATCTTTCAAAGAGTGTGTCTAACTTCAATTTCATAACTAAACACTTCTTTCATTTTAATATGTAGAATTCAAGGTAAGCTGCCTTGAATCTATAGAAGGAAAATACCCATCTTAAAATTTATGAGGACATGCATTACCGCAGGAAGTTGAGAGACAAATGTATAAATAGACTTTTCTAAAATGATTTGACAAAAATTATGTACATTCCTGAAGTGGGAAGTCAAAGTCCTTCAGATGGATTCATTGTTCTCATCTCAGTATGCATTTCATATGTTTTATTGCAAATTGTTAGAGTTGTGATTCTTACCTACTTTTGTGCATAATTAATATTCTCTTATTCTGCTAAGTTATTCCTTATAAGTATAGTTTTTAGTATTGCACTATGTCCTCCTAAGTGCAGAAGTACCAAATCAGACTCATGCATCAAGCTGGAGAATCTAATTTGGTCTTTGATTCAAACAGTAATGTAAATATTGATATTTCTTTTTGGCATTAATAAATGAGATGTATCTTCTGGGAATAGAATGTTGGAGAATTGTTTTTTGTGTATATGGATCTTTTGGAAAAATATAATCCAGAACTAATGAGAGGGTTTTTTTTTTAATTGAAGTGCTGAAATGTTTTAAATTATAACTCTTCCTGATGCATCTCCTCAGTTTTATCATGAGAAATAGTTTCAGTAAACACATTCTGTATCTCATGACTTGTATAGTAAAGAAGGAAAGTAGTTGTTCAAACTGCCCAAAAGATAGTATGTTCTTTGATGTAATAATACCTAATATTCTATACCTATTGTTCTACCAAGCTAGCATGCTAATAATTGATTTGGACTGGGTAAATATTTGAATGTTCATTTACTGTTCTGAAACCAAACAATTGTATTCTTCAGACAACTCACAGTCCAATTTTTGAGACACACAAAGTAACAATTTCTGTTGCTATTGATAAACAGCGGATGTAGATAAAAAAAATCTCAAAACCCGTTATTTCTGTCTTGCTGCCTGTTTGTTTTGCATTGTGTTTACTGCCACTGTGCTACGATTTACAGATTGAAAATCACTTTTCTCACGGTTCCTTTGGACACAGTCGTATATTTAAGCGTACCCATCTCAAAATGATTCTCTCTAAGAGTGATGAACACTATATTCTCCATTGACTTTGGTTAAATTCCTGACCCCAAGGATGTTCTCTGCTCAGTGCCTGATAGTGAGTACATGCATTTTTCAGGTACTTGTCTTCATGTCATGGCAGGTTCTTAGGAGACTGTACACTGAAAGGTGTTTTTTTTCCTTTTTTTTTAAACTATCGAATTCCATTTAATTAAGTACCTTAGGACACCGAAACACTGAAATATATATTGTAAACATAAATCATTAATTTCTGACCTTGCTGTTGTGAGAAACTGGAATGGTGAATGATCATGAAAGAATAACTATATTCCAGCTATAACACTTTGATTCCATTCTTTTTACAACAGTCCGCCTATGACTTGGTTCCACTTTGGTAAAGGAAGAAGCCTGATTAGACAAAAATAGTGTAGGTAGACTCTACTACTCTGAAATAAATAATTGTTTACTGTTTAAATACTTGTAATATGTCATATTCAGCTATTTAATTTAAATATAATATTTGAATAAATATACAGTATTTGAATAAATATTTATTTCAATACTTAAATGATGATTTGCAATTCATTAGCCTTTCAAAATTGCTGTGTTGGTGTAACTTTACCATTCAGATCAAAGGCAATATTTCCTAAGCAAAAATTTTGAAAATCCCTTTACTAACTAATTTTAATGGCATGTATTGTGTGCTAAACTCATAGTTGCTTTATCTATAGTTTAAAAATTAGAACCAAAAAGATTACTCTAACAGGGCCCTTAACTGCAAATTTTAAAAAAAGGAAATGAAAAAATATAAATTAAATTTTTTTAAATCAATAGCAATCCTTTTTCATTGAATGAAGCAGTACTTTGCTCTTGTTCCTAATTTTATACAATCTGAATATTAACAGATGTATAGTAGTATCTGATATATATATTTGTACCTACGTGTGTGCACGCATGTGCCCACACACACAAATTTTGAAGGCTAACAAATGCCGAAGTGCTTTCTATTAGCACTCCTTTTGGCTTTTGATGAACTGTTTAGTACTGAGTAACAACCCTGCAGCAGTCTGGGTGAAGACAGCAAGCCTACAACTTCCAGATTTAACCACTGGAGATGATAAAACAGGTTCTCTAGGAGGGATGGATTAACACCCGCCATCTTCTGAAGAGTGCCACCGGCCTGTAATGGCTGGTTCAGTGCTGTGTTTCATATCCCTTCCCGCCCCAGCGGTAAAGCAGGCTTTACGGTGGTGCTGGGGCAGCAGTCAACGGTGGCTCCAAGGGACCGGTGACGCCTGCCGGACCGACTGCCGGGACGCTCCCCGCACCGCTGCCCTCCCGCCTGCTGGTGGTCTGCCATCTACATACCTAGGCTTGCTTCTGAGGGCGGGTGGCAATGTCTGCAAGGTCTTTTTTATTACATAAAGTAGAGCCAAAACCGGCTGTCAGCTGCTGTTTGGCCCTAGGTTCCTCCTTATCCTGGATAGAGGATTTCAGTATCCTTTTAACAGGCACACACATTTACACTAATCCGGAAAACCTGGATGTGTTTACCTGCTGAATGGGAATAGTTTTCTTATAGGTGTTTTAGGTATTTCCTTGAAACTCTTCTTATTGGTGAGAAATGCTGTATGATTTCCTTTCAGACATCAAGGCTAAGCTAAACACCAGTGAAATAACTCCTGTTGGTCTGGGGGAGCTTTGGGTCAGGCCTTTGCTGAGTTGCATTGAAATTATTAAAAAAGTATTATCCAAATTTTAAATTTTAAGATGTATGCCTTTTTTTGTATTCTCTGAAGACTTGGAATTAAGAAAACAGATGTTATTACCACTAGTTCTGTCTCACATTTTCTTGATTTTAATTTTTATTATGCGTGGAACGATACCTGTCAGAAAAACCTTCAGCTGCTGTCAATGTAAGGCCTGATTCTACTTTTTCTTGAGAGAATTTTCAACTTGGTGCTTGCCTTGGCTAGATGGACTAAAAGTGGGGGAAATCCATAGTGGAGGGGCAAATATTTTGCTGCAGTACTGTGCAGAGCACTGCAAAATGTATGTCCTTCAGTAGACTCATCCTGATGCACATTCATAGCAAAGCACGCCAAAGATGAGAAAAAACACGCAACCCTTCGCAGATAAAAGATACAGCTCAGAGTGACACATGTAAATGGGATAAGAAGGTTTAACAGAACCGGGCAGGCTAAAGTTTATGAGGACAGAGAGTTTATTGGAAAGCTGAGATGTCTGGAAAAAGACAAATTTATGTACGCAATAGCCCTTCTTCAGAGATAGCATGTATATAACACATTGGATCTGGAACACATTCCCCTCTCCATATAAAAAACATCAGGAGAGACTTCATGGGGTAAAAAGATATCTCTCTACCTGAGATTATTGCCATTCAGAGTGTAAAGCTAACCAGACAGTGGGGAGGATCTCAAGGTCTCAGCTGATTTACAGTTTAAGTCAAGGACTCAAAGGTGAGACCTGGATCCAAGCTTCCAGCTTTTCCAGCATCCCACTTCAGAGGAACCTCGTAACAGAGTAGCTAAGAGGATAGATGCACAGACCTCAGTGTGTGCGAGGTGCTCTCATCTTTGTTATTGCAAGGTTAATAGCTACCTTTTTAGAAAGATAGTCCCAAACTTGTCTAGTGCAAAGTTACTGGCAACGTTTCCGTCTGTTAGCAGTTTTTCTCCAACCTACAGAATGGTACAGCTCCACTAAAGCTAGGCCATCAGCTTCTGCAGCAGCCCATGATGCTAGGTGAAGCCCAGTGTTCTGAGGACTCCTCATATAGCAGGAATAGGAAGAGTTTTTGGTTTATGTGTAGGTAAGAGCATGTACTCTAGTCACAGCCTATAAAGCTTATGATGGAGGCTTTATGGCTTGCTACGTCATCTGTTTTCCTTGGAGTATTCTGAGAGCAGTCAGATTGCAGGATACTGCTCAGCTGTGGTTCATTTTGTCCATCTTTCCTTGGAAGCGTCTGAGTTGAGATGCCCATCGTCTCTGCCCACCCTGATGGCAGGAGATACTGGGGCTCAACTGAAAGTAGCCTGGGCTGTCCTGAGTGGTTACTGCGACAGAGCAGCAGCCAGACAAGGTATCAAGAGTAGCCTGGGCTGTCCTGAGTGGTTACTGAGACAGAGCAGCAGCCAGACAAGGTATCGACTGCTGAAGCCTACTTACACGCAGGTAAAGACATCCTGGTATAAACTCTGTGAACAAACCTTCTGCAGCATACAGCATCTTGGTGTTTCCTGCCAGGATTACCAACTGTTTTGCTCTAGAGCCTGCAAGGAAGGTGATCCAGTCAGCATAAACTTGGTCCTAGTTGTCCTCTCAAGACTCTATATACGGTGCTTTAGTTACACTCTGTGTGGCTGTGCAGCAAGATTCAGAGAAGGCAAGGGTATGGAAATCCCGATAGCCTTGGGGAATCACTGACAAAGTCCCAGCGTGGTCAAAATGTTGCCCATTTTGCATTTACACCGTTGATAGCTCTGTAATTTGGGACTAAAACTGTCAGACAGTTAGGAGAATTGTAAAATTGGCATGACAGTGGATTTGGGCTCAAATGTGCGGTAACTACACCACAGGAGGAAGAACACTCTGGAATTAATTGAGCTTACTGACCTCAGTGACATTTTATAATGCATACTTCTAATTATTCTGTATACAGCACATTGTGAATTTTGAAGAGCTAGAAATTGAGTCTAAAATATCAAAATAGATAGAGAGAAAATGTTTGAGTGGTATTTTTCATTCCTGAAATATGTAACCTCTGTGACTAATGATTTTATTATATTTTTCAGGCTTTGTTGCTAGTAAGAAAAATGCTTAACTTTTAAACCACTTTTTTTTAGTACATTAATGGTACAGCCTATAGTATTCATGCTTGGTTTTAAATAGCAGAAATGTGTATGGATCCAATCTAATACTATGTATAAGGGAAACAAAGTATATGAATACTAAATTGCATCTCACAGGCCTTTCTTTTTGGTGCAATAAGTATTTTTCCACTATTACCAGAAGGAGTAGGTGTTATTAACTCCAACAATGCCAGTATCTTCCAAGATCATATGTCTAAGAAAGGAAGAGAAAAGGTTTCTGGATGTGAGTCTGAATTTATGTTTCAGCTGCAGTAAATGCTCTTAATAGTGTGATTTTATTTTATGCTGTGCTGCGAAGCTTGACTCTGGTTTGCAGAGTGTGAATCTCAACTCTCTGTATAACAATTACAGTAGAGGTTGAAGGTGAAGAAATGATAATTTGGTACTTGAAATAAAGTGGTTTTGCTAACAGACCAGTGAATATTGTCTATTTATACAGGAATAGCGGTTAAACCTCTACTGAGTTTACTCCATAGCTTGATGAAATAGTTTCTCACTTGAGAAGGCAATGTGCCTGTCTAATCTTTTGGCTGGTTAGAGAGGAGAAGATTTAACTTTCTGTAGTTTAGAGTAGTGCTTTTGACATTGTCTCTGTGATCCGGTGACACAGTGTTAAATGATACTAGGACCTAGATTCAATAAGGCAGAAAATAGGAAGGCGTATGAACAAGTGAGGCAATTGCCTTGTACAGTAAAAAATACTGGAAGTATTTCTTGTAATATAACCATGGCTTGGCATGACCTTGCTCTGACACCGTGACTCAATGACACAATCTTATCCTCAGGAGACTTGGATTTTTAAAGCCTAGTATTAACTTCCTATGGGCCAAACAAACAACTGGAGAAGAAATGGGGTCATTTGTGGTTGGTTGTTTCTTTCTCTTCCTGACATTTCTCTGCCTCCTGATTCTTCCTAGTGCCTGGAGCCCTGCAAAGAGTCCTGGGACCTGAAGAAAAACCATTGCCAAAACTTCTGTGAGGTACGTCAGCCCAAGGGCACTCTTTCTTACTTTGTTCTAGCTGTCTCTTTCATTTAAATTATTAGCTTCAAGGAGACAGCTAACAAACATGGGATTTGTACAGCATTTGCCTTCATTTGAAGGGATACACATATAACAATTCAGCCATATTAAGTTTAGAAAAAGGGGGATTTTTTGAGACCAAATGATTTATCTCAACTTGGAGTTTTAAGACTTGATCCAGCCACACTTACATAGCTTCTTTCAGAAAGTTCTATTAAATCCCTCCTGTAAGATGCTATTTCTATCACATGCCCTTCTGTCTTTTCTGGCCACGTCTAAGAAAGAGTATCTTTGTTTAAAAGATAAGGTGTCATTGTCTGAAAATCCTTGTGCAGGGCGGCTAGAAAAGATGGCTTTCCTGTATGTAAAAGTCAATCTGATTTCTAAAAGAATATCTCTCCAGGAGTAACTGGTTTGTGGACTCCTAGTTCAGAACACTGTTATCAAAATACACAATTATTCAGGAACAAGCCTTTGGAAAACTGTTTCTGAATCATGTTTCAGAATAATCTTGTGAATAAGCAAACCTCGATCAGTTAAACTAGTACAAAAAGGAGGTGATTTTATTGGATATAAAACATGGCTCTGCTATCTTGGTGGAAGTCCGCTGTTACATTCTTAACTGTTTTTTAGTACAAAATAGAAATATCGTCTCAGTAGAAAGTTGCTTTATTATAACTAAATCAATATAAAGATACAACTTCATTCAAGTCTATGAAGTCTATGTTTATGAAGATTTTCAGCTTTTCCTATAAAAAAATAGAAGTGACCCTAATTGCTATATTTCTCTCACTGATATGCTGTTTTAACTCCTCCCTCATCATTGTGGGCACTCTTTTTCTAGTACAAGAGTATGTCTTATGTTTAAATGTTTTTAACCATCATGAAGATGATTAGGAAAAGCTGTAATTTCAACTAAAAAAAAAGTTTGATCCAAGTATGTGTAAATAGGGATTACTGGGTTACTGATTTTTGTGGTTACATTAGAAGACAAAGTACAAATTTCTCATGAAGCCATTCCTTGTAAGAATTCTTTAACCTAGATTAATTGCTGCTTCCTCACATACAAAACTCTAGAGTAGTGTAATAAAGCGATTTTAGTGGATCTAATTTATGTCATTCTCGTATATCACCTCTCACTCAGGCTGTATGTTTGCAGATATGGGTGAAAATACGTATAAAATTGGTTTAAAAGGAAAACATTTGTAGAACACTGTTCTATTGTAGTTCAAAACAGTGAGCATCCCTCTTTGATTAGTGTTCTGTGGTTGAAGCTAAATTTAGAACTTCAAAGGCCCGTAATGAAGAGCAGCACATTTAGCAGCTAACTGAAAAATGAGCTGTGAAATAGGGTGAGGACGAGAAGCCTTGAGGATGTATTATGCCTCAGGGAGCTATAAAGTTTTTAATTAAGTAGCTGCAAATTTGTGATGTTTTAGGATTTGAAATTAGCTTCACACGCACAAAAGCATGGGACCACTTTCCTTTCTCTCAGACTCATGTATGCTCCATAGACATTTTTTGATTGAATTAAACGAGACTGTTTTCCTTTGAGAGTGTTTTCAATCTTTTTGTCTTTTGTAAAAAATCTGGAAGAAACAATTTAGCTTTGTGTTTCTCAACGTTCCTGCTTGGTATGTTACTTCTTATCCACCGAATGAGTGTACTAATGTTAAAGGAACCTTATGTGTGAAGAAGAAAAGAAGACAGTTTGCCCGACTCCCATTTTTTCCATAAATTCAGTTTCCTGCTGGTTTAGCTTCTTAACTGGCTAACCATGGCATCAGGTGCGTGTCCAAGGATCACTGGGGGCAGTAGGAGACATAAGGACTGCTCATTTTGGCAGCCTCTAGGCTGGTTAAGCCGTAAACCCAAATTCATCCTTAAAAGCCTGATTCAAAATTTCTGGACTGTTCTGTAGGACAAGATAGGAGAGGTAACATAGTGGCCCATTCTTGGAGCACAGTGACTTTGGAGAATAAACTAACACATAGTCTGTGAAACACCCGGACCTCCATAATAGTGAAGTCTTTCTCATTTTGCCAGAAATATAAGAACAGTAAAAACAAGCAAGTATAACATTTGAATATGGAAGGAAGTTGCAGAAGTTACGTGTATAGTTGGATGGAGAGTGGATTACAGTTCCTGTGTAGGTTTAGTAATCTGTAAATCAGATCTGTCAGAGCAGAAGGTTTATAGTTGCTCTGAGATAGGAAGGCAGTCTGTAGATAACCCCAGTTACATGGTTGCCCGTCTACAGTTCCACCAATCACTTTGAGGGAATCACTTCAGCTGTTTTTGCACCAAACTAAATAAAGCACCAGACAAAAGAGGAGATGAAATCCCCGTGTCACATACAACGTTCTCCCCAGGGTGCTAGATGCTATTTTTAATACAGTTTTAAGTGAACCTTGCAAACCTCCGAGTAGTACACATGCTATAAAATGTCTACGTCTTGAAGCAACTTGTCATATATCTAGGACTTCATTTCTCAAAGAAGTAGCATTTACTTTGAACTTTGTTCAATATATTTAAGGCTTATTTTAATCTGTATTTTGTGCTGATCATTTTATCAGAAATTTAATTCCATTTCCATGAAGAGTTATACAATTAGTAATATGCTGGCAAGAACATAAAGATGCTGCAGAATCTTCTCTTAGCCAACTCAGTTTAAACAGTATAATGAAACAAGATTTCACTTATTTATCTAGAGTGGCATTACATCAGATATTGTGGGTAAAGTGTTATGAAGTACAAAGGGAGGAATGTGGGGTAGTCCAAAAAAAAAAGACTGTCTGACCATTGCTTCCCCTTTGTTTTGGGAATGTTTTTAGTCTGTCATTGAGCAATCTTGTAGCGAGCCAATGTGAGGAAAACAAGGGAAAGCTGGCAAATATAAACAACTTTACTCCATTAAAGATGGTGGTCTTACTTGAGGGAATTCAACATTCTGTACTTGGAATGCTTTTCTGGAAGTGACTTGAATATATAAATCTTCGGGGATGGTCTTGCAAAAGCTGAAAATCTGAATTTTCCTTTAGGAGGTCTTGGAAAACATACAACTTTTTTTTTTTTTCTTGTTGTTCCTGTTGAAAACTTTATACAATTCTTTTGTTTTCCCTTTAGCCTCTTTTCCCCAAGAAGAATTACGAATGCCTAACTAGCTGTGAATTCCTTAAGTACATCCTGTCTGTGAAGCAAGGGGACTGCCCAGCACCTGAGAAGGCCAGTGGTTTTGCAGCTGCCTGTGTTGAAAGCTGTGAAGCTGATAGTGAATGTTCTGGAGTGAAGAAATGCTGTTCCAATGGATGTGGTCATACGTGCCAAGTTCCAAAAAATCTGTACAAAGGTAGGGATTATTAATATGTACTCACACTGGGCTAATAACTTCAGGCCATAATAAAGTCTCCTAGAAAACCAGGACTTCTGTTTCAAAGGAGTTTGTATGGATGGGAAGAAAAAGGAGAGGCGCCTATAGAAATGTGGCTGGACACTGAAAGGGTAGAAAGCCAGAGAAAAATGTTGCTCAAGTTTCTGAATTTTTTTCCCCCTGTGAAACCCCTGTCTGGAAATCTGTGGAATGTAAACATGTGGCTATTATGAATCATCTTAAGCAGAACAAACTTGCCAATTTAGGTGAAATCTCACTTAATTTGATGCAGATGAGAGAGAATGCAGCAGGAAAATATCTAACGATAAATAATTGAAGTCCTATTAATCACAAATAACATTTATGTTTATAAGCCAAGCAGGTAGGACTACCAAATAGGAAGTGTGAGATGATCTACTGAAAGAGCAAATCAATGCAGTATATTGGGCATTGGTGTTCTTAGTGACATAAGAACAAAATAATGAAAAACTATAATATCCACATATATATATTAAGTCATTATTTAAATCTAAAGCAATCTTATTAAAACTTTTTAATTCATTGAAGTCCTGAGATTCTGTGAAAAAAAGTTTTCCTTAACGTCCTTTGGCAAGAACACATAGACTAAGAAATTATTTGCTTAGATGAACTCCAGAATTTAATTTGTTGTAATCAAAAAAAGCTTTATACGTGGAAATATTCTGAAAATGTGCTCTTACTGCAGAACAATAAGCATTTATAAAAGGCATTTTCTTGTGCCACACAGTTGGAATGTTTTGTTAGAAAACAGTCATACTTCAGTGATAAAAAAAAAAATATTAATCAGTTATTTTTCTGATAGCATGGGCTCTCTGTGGAGAGCCTAATCACCAGAACTCTGAACTAAGCTCCAGGCTTAGGCCTGAATCCAGACTTTTTTTCCATCTGTGGATGGAAAAAACTGCTGAAGACAGTACTCAAAGTATTTTGAACAGCAGGCAATACTGTGATCCATCTGTGGATGGATAAATGATAAAATATGTGAAGAAGATGGTGATTTTATTTTTAAGTTCATTGCTTTAACTGAAATGTTGATGCATCTTTTTGAATGTTCCTTGTGAGGAGAATATATGTCAGAAATAATGTACTTTGACTTTTGAATTCTGTCTTTGAGTGTACAGGATGGGCCATCAGAAAGAACTGTCTTATTTACTTAAATAAATGGAGTAAATTTGGTCTAGAAGTCATAGAGGTTGAGTAAGCATGAAACTGCTGAAGACAGTACTCAAAGTATTTTGAACAGCAGGCAATACTGTGATCCAGATTTCCAGTGCAAAAGGGAAATTCTCTTGCTTCCAAGATCCTTCAGAGCATCCCCTTTAAAACTATCAGGAATTAATACATTCTTATACACAGCACCTTTCAAAATGAATTATTAAAATTGATCACTTAGTTATTCCTTTCGTCTTCTTGAGACAAATGACCAGAGTGATAAACTGGCATTTGTATTGTATATGTAATGATTCACATGATCAGGCTCCATAACACAACTACAAAGCTGGAAAAGGCAAAACCAAAACAAACAAACAAACAAACAAATGAAACAAGATGACATGCTTTTGGAGAGGACAGAGGATATGACAGGATACAATACATAGTATAACTGCACAGTGGAAAGTCTGTTACTCTTCACCCTAATTATACAGGAACAGAACTAACCTTCTCTAACATCTTATCATCTGTCTGCAGGAGGTGCTTGCTTGTAAAAGCATATATGTCTTGCAGAGGAAGGGCAAGCCCAATACCGTACTGCCTTCTTAGCTGATGAATTCAGCTAATTAGCCTCTTCAACCTGTCTTTCTGCAGCAAAGGACAAATAGAAGCGGAGCAGGCTTGCTATTCATTTCCTCCAGGGGTAAATGACCTTCCTGTCACTAAGGAAGAGCAAACTCTGCAAGCGTGACTAAGATCTACTGAATAAGTTCAGTACTTATTCTTATCATTTTGACAGCACTCACAGCTAGAAAATGAACTCAGATTGAATCTAAGAGTCTACAGAGGTTCCTATAGTTTCACTGTTGATCAAGCTCTGGAGATTAGTTACAACAGCAGATATAAAATACCCACCTGATTTGCTGGATTTACAAACTGCATTTGCCCTGTAGTACTGAATGCTAAAGCCCAATCCTAAAAGAATATTAGTGTGCCATTTTTGCCACCAAAGTCATCCTAATTGTTTATTGGCTTGCATTCACTATAATCTTCAAACTGTCCCTTATCATTGTATTTTTTCACCTCTATTGGAAGTATTACTGATCACTCACGTAGTTTTCACATTTTTATTTCCCTTTACTGGATATATGAAATGTTCTCTCCTACTCTTCTGTCATCTGCCTCATCCACCTCCTTTACGTCATCTCAACTAGTGAAGGACTTCAGAAAGTGTCTTTTCTCCGTGGCCTACCTATTTTTTTTTTTTATATGGACATAATGATGTTATAAATAACAGTAAGTGCCTAAAGTAGATTTGATACTTTAGAGATAGAAATGAGGGCAATATCTCTGCTTAGAAATAAAACAGTTTAAAAATGCAGAAGAAAAAAGAAGGAACAGAAAGGCATGGAAAATGTGTGATCAGGTTCACTTTGTCTAACGTACATGTATGCATCCCCAAGTAAGGACAAGGACATGTATTTTTTTCTACACACAGCTGGTAACAGCTGAAAAAATTACCCATCACCTTTTTCCTGTTCAGAAGTTAGTGATCTCTCAGGTGTGATGATACACCTACTCGTCTGAACTTCTCAGGACCTCTTTCAACAAAGATTTAGGGTTCATGCTGTCTAAACCAGCCAAACTAGTTTTGTCTGAAACTTGTAAGGGAGCAATCCATATAGCAAACCAAACTGCAGATCTTGGCAAGGTAAATTGTGAAGATTATGACATTTAAAGGGTATGATGGTATGACTATATCATAATAGGTTAGCTGGAGCCAGATGGTCACCCACAGTTTAAAGGCTCTTTTCATGCTTAAAGAAAAATAGTTTTGTATTAAAAAAACGATGTACAGTTTTAAAAGTGCGTATCTCTGAGTCTTTGAACAACTGCATTTACAATGGTACTGATGCCATGAATATGCCCTTTACTGTCTGAAACCCTTCCATGGAAACCTTTTGAATTCCTGGGGAATCACATTTAAGATACAGATTCTTATGATGGACCAGTGTGCATTTATTCTTCATGGCACAGAGATGCACGTGCTGTTTGAAAGACACCTCTAGAAACATTTTTCCTGGACTGTGGTATTGCACACATACAGCAATCAGTGATTTGAATTCTTCAGTTAAGTACTGCAGACTTCAGAGGACTAATTTGTTCCAGCACGATGAAAGGGCTGACCATTTACATAATAAAAAGCACATTGAAGACTAATTGGATCTACACATCTGGATATTAAATTGATGGTGCTGGTTCTACAAAAGTATTTTAAGATGCACTTGTGCTGCACTCGGGTTGTTTGTGCTGCTGCGCTCCATCTGCACGCAATTACGTAAGACCGGAGAGGCTGAGATACTTGCAAGCAAGGGAATCCAACTGCCCTAATGCAAAGCAGATGGAAGTTTTCTTAACATGCAAATTGTAGGATTATTGTACATCATAATTAAAAAAGGATTTTCAAATGTGGAAATCCAAACTGACATGTTCTCTGATGTTAGTTGTATTGGACTAAGACTGCAGGCTGTTGAAGGATATCCAGGGTTTAAACTTCTCTGATAACCAGATTTAAGTACTGGATTTTCCTCAGGTTGATTTTAGGTTTCTTCAAGGGCTACAAGATCCATTTTTATTTACTTGTAGCTAATTGTATAATCAGATTTAGGAGAAGACCTCTTGAAATATAACAGCGGTTTGTTCACCTAAGGAAATTCTGGTAGTCAGTCATCTGTGGCAGACTGAGTAGGAAGTAACTTATCAAACCAACACATACAGCTGGACTGATGTGGGCACCCACTGAATTAACAAAATAAATAAAGTGCATATGATAACTTACTAAGAAGGTTTGTATGTCAGCACAGAAATCTTATTTGTGACATATCCTGAAGTGACAAAATGCTGCACGCTCAAATATATGAGTTCCTAAAGTCTGTCTAGAGAAACGTATCTAACATTTGATTTGTTGATTTAATCAAAAGATGCCAAATTTGAAGAGTTGTTTTTTCCTTCAGGCTACTGCACATGTTTTCAAAAAGGTGATGTTACCAAGAGTAGAAACAACAGAAACAACTGTCCTTCAGTGTCACTGTGTAATGGGAAATTACTGTAAAATTTTAGAAAGACATCTTTGTCTCTGAAATGTAACAGTTGGGCAATATAGATTAGATACAGCATATCTGTTCCAAGGTGTCTTGGAATTACCTTTCCTAGATCTTTAGGGAAGAGTGGAGAGTGACACGTCATACAATACAGCTGCACGGGAGTCAACGAGAGCATGCTGCTATGGAGAAGGCAAACAGCTTTCTTAAGTATATTGAACTAATGTAAAATGTGTGAAATAATCCCGCCTCTCTAGTCTTCACTGGTAAGAGCTTAGACACAGTCTGCGTACAGTTTTAGGCTTGTCTTTGAAGAAGGGCTGTGGGCCAATGGGAGGGTTTCCGGAGACAACTGCAAGAATGATCAGAGGCCTAGAAACGCTGATTTAAAAGGAAAATGGAGTGCACTGTGGTTATTAGACTGAAGAAAAAAACATTCAGAGGCATGATAACAGTCTTCCAGTACATAAAAGGCTCCTCTGCAGATGAAAGAAAGAATCTGTTCTCCATGATCCATGAACATCATGGACAAGTATTGAGTTTAAGATGCAGTGGAGACTAAACAAGGTAGTGAGAAAGCTTTCTAATGGTAAGGATAGAGAACTAGTGGAACAGATTACTATGGGATGCTGTGGAAATTCTGTCATTAGATTTGTTTAAGGACAAATTTGGTGAAAAACTGAACAGATATAACTGATTCGGCTTGAGATCAAGGGGATCTTTCTCCAGGTTATCAAAGCGTATTTGGAAAGTGTTTTCTGTGAGAGCGGTTTTAGCTTATGACTTTCAGATCCTTTAGTTTTTAAATGAAATAAAGAAATAATTTTGAAGATTTTTAAAAACAAGTTTTACTGTTAGCAGAGATAGGTCAGCTGTAAGCACTTCTGAAACTCCCATGCTCGTTAGCCAATCTATTCCCACCTTTTTTCGTTCTGTCTGACCAACAATCTCCTCTTTTTTTAAATTATTGTTTATACAGCTTCATCTACATATGGTTTAATCGCATCTTGTAAATTACTCACATATTTTTGTCTGCATGTTCCTATTACAGGTGTTCCACTGAAACCCCGAAAAGAATTAAAATTCATAGAACTTCAGTCTGGAGACCTGGAGGTGAAGTGGTCTTCAAAATTCAATATTTCCATTGAGCCCGTGATCTATGTTGTTCAAAGGAGGTGGAATCAAGGAATCCATCCAAGTGAAGATGACGCTACTAACTGGCAAACTGTGGCACAGGTCAGTTCTTTGTAAAGCAATATGAATCCCTAGCTTCCAGACCACGATCTAAAGGTCCTCTTCAGATCGGAGAAGAGTTAGATCACATACAGGTGGGGAGGCTCATGCAGAGGGATCCCTTTATAGGGTCTCTCTCCAGGTCATGACAGAGCTGCAAACAGAATCCATATCTCCAACGCCTTACTTCACTGGTCAATGAACTATTTTCTAGATCTACTCAGGGGAAATGAACTTCATTATTTTCACTTCCAGTTTTTCAGTTACAGAAACATCAAATGCTTTTGGTATGTATTGAAAATGACTTCATGTGAATATACCAGTAAAGAAGTAAATAATGGTTTCCTTGTCCCCAAAAGAAAATATACTCAGAGGTTTATGTTTTCAAAATGAGTTTATTTTGTGGGTTTGCTTTCTATAGATAAAAATCTATAGAACTAGCTGAAGGCTTGATTTTTATAAGGCCAGTGAGCAGCCCTTTCTTGTAAGCACATACTTATGGTCTATTCAGATGGGAATTCCAAAGTCTCTGAAAGCCACAAATCTCTTTAAAAATGTAGCCTTAGATGCCAAAATCCATTGAAGGGAGCATATAAGAGACATGGTCCTTTTGAGGTCAATGGGACTCAGTACACAGTGTTCAAGGAATGGCTTCGGTCTTACCAAAAAGGTAAGAACTACAATTGGTGAGAAGGCTATTTAATTTTTTAAAATAAAACAAAGAGTGAAAAAAAGACTAAAACCTTTGTTTTTTGTAAAGTTGTTTTTTTCACATGACTCTCCCAATTTAGAAAAGCCTATGATGTCATACTCTTATCACTCAGTGCAATCCAGACTGAAAATGTAAGATTCATAAGCAAATGTTTCTTAATGAGAAGCAGCCAACAGAGCATAAATTTTCACTTAGTTCCTTCCCAGTTTCAATCTGTTTTTTAACATGCTGACAGTCCACCTGGATGGCAGAGTTCCAGTCATTTATCTTAACTGCTTCACCCTCATCCCTGCTGACAAGAAAAGTAAAATGCTGATTTTTAAGAGACCTGCAAAATGTCATTATAGCTAGGAAAAAAAAAGAAAAAGAGAATAAATAGAACCATCCACAAAATGAAGTAAAGAGTCTAAATTCTGTGACAATCTGTGTTCATTCTCAATTCAGATTATGTAGGAAAAAGCTATCTTAAAATAATGTCAAGCTTGTAAAAGTGAACCCTGACAAGTGAGGTTATTAGCTTCAGCATGGTGCTACAGGGCGCTTTCACTGTGTTAAAGTCTTGCTCAGAAAAAGTCACCTGCAGCAGAGTCTGGCATGAAACCCTGCTTGTGCAAGCCCAAGGGAATGTGCACACCTCCAAACTTGATGAAGTTGCAGTGACTTAAATTTATTATCTCTCACCTGAGGTGGAGGTCTTCAATCTGCATTGTCCACATTCAGCAAACAACCTCCTGCCCTTGCTACCAGAAAAATAGCATGTAGCAAAACCGGGGCAGGTCTGAACTACTGCTGTCTGTCATCGTGCCATGGGTATGTGCTAGACTGTAGAATTCCAACTCTTCTGGCTGGTGGACCCAGACTGCAAAGGTAGCACACTGCTGCGCTTTTTCTCATCCCAGAAGCAGACCTCGTGCATATTTCTGGAAGCATGCATGATATATGCTCCACAGTAATGGAGCATATACAAACCGCTGCCTTCTTCAGCGGATATACAGGAGAGAATGTGTCAGAAACGTGTTCCTGTGCAAGAGTGATAAGAACCTTGACAGCTGCCTTTCCTGGGGGTCTGTTACACGTGGGCAGAAGGGGCTGAGTTAATCACTGTGGCAGGAGAAGCCTCCTCCAACTGACATCTTTCTGAGAACTTTGCTGTCCCTTCTGCATCACAAGAGACCCGTGTTTGATTGTGTGATGGCCCCCACTGGGGGGGTCAGTTTAGAACAAGCTTCAGGATGCCTGGTTGACTTTGTGAACTGTGCATACCTTATGGGACGTACAGGCTGGGCACCCTTGAGGGGTGCTCGTACTCAGAATTTCTGTGTCTATAGAGTAACGTACCACCATGGTGTTTGTACTTTTAGACATCCTACCAGGCAGTCAAATTTAAGTGTGGCTGCATGCAATAGAATTTATTTTGCAGTATCAGCAACAAGGATGGATATCCAATTTGGCTAAAGAAACTGTGCACAGCCTCTGGGCTTTTCTTGTCCATATAACTGAGATTTTTTTTCTTGTATGATTCCAAAACTTTGGGATATAAGACCTTAATTATAGGCAAAGGCTACGAAGAGCTCATCCATCCATCTGAGAACTCCTGGGGCATCTCAGTCCATCAGGGGAGATGGTGCTGGCTCTTTCATTAATCTGCAACTTAAGTTAGAGAGCATGTAAAAAGCAGCCAAAGATCAAAAGGACTGTGGGTGAGGATCTGGATTTCTCTATGCCTATGCCCATATGTAGTGTATTTATGCAAAGTTATTGTTTGCACCTTCTTATAAGAAATTACATAATTTATCAGAGTTCCTCATCCAATATTCTGTTTTTGTTATCTGTCCAAGAAGAAATAGCACTATAGTTTTTAATAACTTTATTTTAAGGTGTTTACTTTTCAAAAAACCTTGCTCTTCTCTGTTGCCTTTACTTAAGCTAATTTGCAAGTAATTTCTCATGTCTCACATAAGTTTTTACTTGGTACTGAAAAAATAATTTTGAAAAAGTTTGTTTTCTTTGTATTGTATTGTGTCATCAGGTCTTTTTTGATGTTTTCTTTCAAGGAGAAAGGCTCAATCTGTTAATACATTATTTATTTAACTCTCCAAGTATATAAAGAAAGCAAACACATTGAAAACAATTTTGGTTACTCTTCACTTCAGGAAGAAGGGATTTGTTAACTTTAATTTTTTACTGCACATTTTTGGGAAAACTTGACATAATTAACCATTTGACTAATTTCCATTGGTTAATATAAAAATTACAGGAACTAAGATACTAGTTAGCCTAGCTAGATATGATGTCCAGTGTCCTAAGTGGTTATGCCAAGTTTCTTACACTACTGTTTTTTAAGGTTTAACCAGCTGAGCAGGACCTGCTGCACTGTCCCATGAGAATACTGTATATCTTGTGAACAAACTTATTCTGTTTGGTGCTAATGCTTTCTAAAAATAATAGTATTACTGTTTACATTGGAAACTTAGATATTTAATTGTATTAAGGTAATTAATGAAGTTAATTCAAATATGCCAGGTCAGTTATTTCAGACAGAACACATCTGTGTTGTGTGAATGGATGTCAAGTATGAGTGTGTGTATGTATATATGTACACATACACACACACATATATATTTATATGTAAACATATGGACAGACAATAATGAAGTTTACTTATTAGTTTATTCCTTTATTAAAACAAATAAGGGGCAGTATTTACTGCTAGCTCGATTGTGTTAGACTTTAGTGCTTCACCTTGGGATTGTCTAAACTCTGTGGACAACTAATCTTTCTTAAAGTGTAAAGTTTCTGAGATACCCAAAGTTCTGGCTCTAAGGATCACAAAAAGTTTCTCAGCCCTTGACAGTGAGAAATCCCTGCTGGAGCTAACCACCAGGCCTGTCGAAACGAAAGGTTTCTTTCTCCATCTCCCAGGAGAGGCTTGCTTTGGTAAGCATTCTTGGAGAGTCCCATCTTGTGTGGGATTGCATTCACACGAAATCGGGGAGGTCTGCTGTCCTTTGATAGAGTAGTGGATGCAGTACTGTCAGGTTTCTTCTGTATCATCAGAGGAAACATAAACTCAGCTCTTCTGACACTCTGGATGGTATCCCTTCACTCTCTGAACTGCAAATTCTTTTATCACTGTGCGTTGTTTCAAAAGAAGGTGTAGAGCTAGGAACTCAGCTGGGTAAAGCTGTCGTCTCCTATTTTCATTAAACCTTTGCACTACAGAAAGGAATCCAGGATTGATAGTCTGAAAGGAATGGAATGAACACGGTGAAACTGTCCATTGATTACTGTAATTCTTGGATAGAGGGAAGTCCTCTGTATCAGTCTTTGCTCCGAATACATTCTTACACCAATTTTTACATGTATTTAAGACAGAAAAAAATCCATGGAGTGGTGACACAAGAATGCCATCTGAACGGCTTAACTGCTATGCTGCTGAGTCATAAAGTCTCTTTCTTCTCCCTCCCAATCCTAACTAATCCCACCTTTCCCTTACAAGAAGTTGTAATTTTCAGCCTTCTGTTCTCTGAGGAACAGTTTTACCCATGGATGTAGAACATGTTCCAATTCAAAATAGCATGCAACATCCAAGAGGATAGGGAATGTTTTCTCCCAACCTCTCAGACAAAGGATGGGATTGCAGATAGGTCATCCATGCTCTGGGCAAGTACTTTAATCATTAGTCAGTTGTATGAGCAGCAGGGGGAGATTTCTGTAGGCATTTTGAAGAGCAGAGCAGATAATCCCCTTCTGAAAGACAGGATGAGGGGACAACTTTCAGCAGAGGGCTCAGGGCTTAAACAGTTAAGGGCTCCTGGGAGAGGAGTAGAACTGTCAGTGCTTCCTAAATGGGGCAGCTCTGGGCAAATCTCAGCCAAATTCTCACCTGAAAGCCCAGCCACTTTCTTCTTTCTGGCCATTGGAGGTGTCCTTTTGTCCCTTGGGGCTGAAATGCACTCTTGAGAAGAAATGTCGAGTTATTCTCTGTATTCTCCAGGTTATGTCATTGCAATTACGTGCTACTCTTACATAAGATTGTATCCTAATGTAATTAATGGGGACTTTGCCTTGTTTTTGTTGAACTTTGGGTGGTGCTGAAGGTGGACACATTGGCCAATGAGTTTGTCTGGGGACTCATTGGTTATTTTATTCCAAACGAAACACCTATTAGGATTGGAGGTTAGTTTCAAAACATTCCTCTTTTAAGTAAATGGGTAGTGCATAGACAAAATAAGTGGTAATTATGATCCTGTAATGACTGAGGGTTGATCTTTTTGTTTTGTCTTTTATGTGTGAATCTTAGAAAAAAAAACCCTAGCATTGTAAGAAATCAGTAACATTGTTGTTTAATTTCTGTCATATTCAGGCAGAATTTTAGGTGTGTGATGAAATACAACCGTTAGTTATTTAATACCACTCAGCATACCATTTAGTGGTCTTACATTAATGTAAGAGAGATATTGAAAGGACTTTGAATATTATGATCTCAGCTCCAAATATGCTTAAGTAGTGAGAACTAACTAAACTAAAGCAATTAAACAAAAAATTCAACGTACGATTAAAGTAATATAAGATATCTCAGTAGTCTTTAGTTCTTTCTTGAAATTTATTAAATCTATGTGAAGGTTGCCTAGAGGTGCCAAAGTAGTTTATAATGCAGGAGTTACGGATGCACCTCCTGCATGCCATTGAGTTTAACAGGAGCTTTGCCAACAAAATGAAGGATGAAAGCAATAGGCTCAAGACATGTTCATAAATGAAAGTACTCTTGGTGATATGCACTGACAGATTATTTGATTTTACAGTATTTCACAGTTGCCACGGAAGACTGACACAACTGAAATCCTTTCTTTTAATCAGTCCTAGCAGAATAGCTGAGCTGATGCAAATGACAAACAAGATTCCTTAGCTGAGGAATTTGGGGTCAAGTCTATTCGGATTATGCTTGCCTTGTAACTAAATTCAGCAAATCTGTTTTTAAAAACCCACGGTGTTGTAACTAGTTAATTACGATTAGTTATTCATCCTGACCCTGATTTCAGTTGCAGCAGTAGCCTGAGTATATCCTTGGGGTTTTTTTATGTTAATATAGTGATAGTTTATAGTGATAGTTTATATTACTCTAGTTCACTGTCATGCCTTAACTGTAAGTTCTTGAGTATGTGGGCCTGCATGCTGGAAAAAACTAGCCCATTTCAGTGCTCCATAAAATGAAAATAATAGTAAAAGTTGGTTCAGGTAGGCTTTTTCTTTCCTAGGGGAACTCCTTCATTGGATGAGATAATTCACTCTACAGGTAACATAAAAGCTAAAAAAAGGAAAGAAGAAGAGACAGGCAATGAAAGTGTCAGGACTGTTACCCCTGCTTAAGTTAAAAAGACAAATACAGTGGTGTGAATGGAGGAGGACTCTGAGTAGCAGCAATATGTGAGGGGCTCAAAGTCTGTACCACTTACCAGTCTGAGAGCAGTTAATACTGCAGTTTAGAAAGACTCGCTTTTCTTTACATGCACACATAAACGGATATCTGTTTCCCTAAATTTTGCTTGTCACCAAATGAAGAGACTAAGTGCAGGATCATACCTACAAATTTGATTTGTCAGGGCTCTAACAATACCATTGCTGGAGAGGTGAGGCAACTTCCTCAAGCCCTGACTGTCTGAGTTAGGTCGGCAGCTGCTACTTTCTTACACAGGTTGGAAAGGCAGCAAAAAGCAGAAATTATGCTGTGCCTTTTTTGGGAACTACTTGGCATCATTACAAGTAACATTGACTCCTATACAGGGAAAGTGGGTTTTTGAAGTTATAGAAAACAGAGCTTGTAAAAATAAATTGATGTCGCTACATTTTTGATGAGCTTGCATTTTTGTTCAGTAATGATAATCAGTAATGATTGTATACTACATTTAGACATATACAGGACTTTTGGTTCAGGTTCATGTGTTATTTTGATTAAAGAATTAAATTGAAATGCAATAAACGTGACATCCTAAAATAAATTGCAAACTGGATAATCAAGAGGTAATTGCAAAAGTAAAATCCTCAACAAGAGGATGAGTTTCTCATAAGTTCTAGAAAATCACTAACGTCTTCTGTGCTTGTCGGTGATTCAGTGGTTACCAGGAGGCTGTGTTCAGTTCTGGTGTTTGTACTTAGGAGAAATAAGAATCAGTGCAGAAGATAGCTCTTTGAAAGTTTAAAGGGGAAAAAAAAAAAAGATAGAGGAAAGCAGGGCTCAGAGTAAGAGCTTGCAAAGCACCTCCTACAGAAAGGGCTCAGAGTGCCTGTATGCTTATGCCGTATTTCAGCGGTTAAGGCACTCTCCACAGAAGCTGGAAATTGAACTCATGACACGAGCAGTCTCAGTGGGTGTTGTTGGAGAAAAGGTCATCTCCTATGACCTGAGAAAAGTCTGCAGGGAAGAGTTAAGGCTGTGAGTGTCTTTTTGACATAAGTGCCAAAGATCTGAAGAAGGCTTACATTCATTACCTGAGGGTTTCGTGTTTCCTGTGAACCAGAAAAAGCGGCTTCTCACAGCGTGGGATTTCATGAAACCATTTTGGAGTCCTAATTCTCTGAGAATTGAGAATTGGAGAAGTCAGTCCTGTGACCTGAGGCAATGTGTACCCTGAAACACCAATGCCTGAACAGCTAGGGCCTAAACACTGGTGAAGGTTGTGATAGCTGGAAAACTAATTTTGTGAATTTAACACTTCACCATTTTTCTAAAAGTTACTTTTTCCAGAAAAGACCCGTAATGCACTGTAAAATTGCGTGGTTATATGATTTTGCTCACAGCTGTAAATGCTTTGCAGTGCAGAATGATGCTCAAAGTGAGGTGAGGTGTTTGCATACAGCCTGCTGACACTGGTGCATACTCAGTCCGACTAACCTGTATTGCATGGGAGATGATATCACAACTAGCCATGTCAGAACGACGAGTATAAGCATGACATTTTCCCCACCAGACTACAGACGAGCGGATTCGGCTGCCGGACATCCGAGCGAGCAGGTGGTACCAGTTCCGTGTGGCAGCTGTGAACGTGCATGGGACGAGAGGCTTCACGGCACCCAGCAAGCACTTCCGATCCTCGAAAGGTTGGTTTTTGTTTGCTATGTCTGGTGCTCACCTTCCACATGTGGAGCACAACCTGATCTGCCTACTTTTGTGGCAGAAGGTTTTTAACAGGTGGGTTCTTGGGTAGTTTGGCTACTGGCTTTAGAAATGGTATGAGATTTGTTTGAAGTTGGTGAAGGAATTAAAGGTTAAAGGTGTCATTATTCTTTTATCAGTAAGGGGTCTCAATGAATAAACCTCCTTTTAAACATTTTCCGCATGGTTGGTACCAAACAACATGACCCTGACCATGAAACATGAAGGGACTGGGGTTTCTGTGTGTTATTCTGAGAGATTTCTCTTATTTGTCTTTTTAGTTATGAGAAATATGTTGCTGCCATGTTTTTCACAGAGTATTGAAATATTTTGTTGCCTGTATCTAAGTAATTGTAGCAATATTGTTTTGATGGAACTATGGACTCTCTTAATATAACTTTCCCCTTGCTAACACTGAATGTAAGGGCTTAAGAATAAAAAGGGTATAAATGCCAAGTAGCATGTTTCTGTTCATTGGAAAGGCATGCTGGACAACCCACAAAGAATTGTAGGACTTTTTGTTGCCATCTCTGGTTTTGCAACGGTGTGAGTAATAAAATAACTTTGAAAATTATTTCTGTACCAGCAAATGGTACTTGGGGGACGAGGAGATAGAAATGGATCTCCCATCCTGTGAAGTTGCTGGCATTGTCCCTGGTATGCCTTTGACCCACGCGAAGCAAAATTTCCCTAGATGACTCTCAGACATAGTATAGGAACACAGCCCAGAAACTATTTCTGACAGACAGATGGTCTGGATGTGGTCACACTCTCTTAAAAGCATTCGATAATGTCGGCATAGCCAGACTGTGCTGGTTGACTTTAGTGCCAAAGCATAGGATCTAGCACTCTTTGCTCTACTAATAGAGGTAGTTTCTAATAGAAAGACTTGTCTTTATTTTAGTAGTGGCAGAATCTTTACACTGGTGTAACGCATACTTCAAGGAATGCATTTCCTCCTCTTTCTGCAGACAGAATTATCTTGCAATACAGGTAGTTGCCGTCTATGGGTTCCCGTGGTAGCATTTAGCTTGCTGTTTGGCCATAGTCAGTCCTAGAAAAAAACCTTATTGTAGATGCAGTTATAGCAGCATGCAAGTGCTTTTGCTGGTATGGATGGTTTGATTACTTACTGAATAGGTACACGTTAGACTTAATAATTTTTTGCTGCTATAACCACATTTGTGGTAGGAAGGTTGGCTGGCATAGCTGTCCCATTACTGCTGTGACCACGAACCTTTTCAAGTATAAAAGAAGTATTATTTTAAGAATTTATTATACTTAAGTAGCATACCATTTCAGTCACATCAAAAATACAGTTCCTTCGAGCTGTATGGAGCTTACTGCAAGGACTCAGCAGCAGCAGTAGCTTTCTCTGCTTTTTTTCATGAGCAGCACTTCAGCAGATAGTGTTTTGTTGCACAATCTGGCACCAAATTTCTTTTAAACTGAAATCATTGTCAGTTGTTTTACTGAGTTTGTAAAGATTTTCCAACTATTCTGCTTGGAACCACTATAATTGCAATTACATAAAGGTGTATCGTGATAACAGTGAGGTTTTGGCTTGAACGTGACATTTTCAGGCAGGATTTGTATTACTTTCCAAAAAATTCATCCCCTACTGAGTGTGCTAGCCACAGGAGTATGTTACTCAAAATACCTACGTTGATAATGAATATAAGAAGATCCGTGGTAAGTCATACTGAAGGTCTCTTTAGCCCAGTCTCTGACCTTAGCCAAAAGTGGGTTTCTGGAGAAGAGTGTAAGAGCAAGATAAGCTCTGAGATAGGGATATTGCTTCAGAATAGTCTCCCAGCTGGCAGTGATTTGTGTTTCAGGAGCTTGTGGTTTTGAAATGATTACACGTTAGATACCAGAGTCCTCTTTTTCTGTGGTCTCTGCAGCTACCTCTGAAGCACTTGCTCTCCTTGGGTACTGCTCATGGCTGTCTGGTGCAGGTGGAGAGCACTTTTAGGACTTTGTGACAAGGACAGTGGGAGCCAGTAGTACCTCTGCATATTCTTACCTAATAAATCACACAGAATCACAGAATGGTCAGGGTTGGAAGGGACCTCTGGGGATCATCCAGTCCAACCCCCCTGCCAAAGCAGGGTCACCTACACCAAGTTGCACAGGAACACATCCAGGCGGGTTTTGAATATCTCCAGAGAAGGAGACTCCACAACCTCCCTGGGCAGCCTGTGCCAGTGCTCTGTAACCCTCAAAGTACAGAAGTTTTTCCTCATATTCAGATGGAAAAATCAAAATAACGGGATCTTGATAATGGCAGAAAGTATGTAGCCAGCATTGTTCAAAAGGCTCCTGTAACTCTCAAAATAACAATTTTCAAATCTGAACTCCAGCCCTTGGCAGAGAATCATGAATTGCCAGACAAACAGCAAGGAGTTCAGTTAGCTATCAACATTGTAGCCCAAATCATCCTACTCTGACAGCTCATTTAACTATTTTAGATGCTTTGGTATTATCAGTGGTTATTATAAAGATGCCCTGTTTGCCAGATGAAACGTGTAGACAGGTTAGGTGACTCACATGAAGATGCTGCTAGGTGGTGACTGTCAGGAACAATACTGGGATGCTTTAATCGCTGTCTCTTAACCTCCATGTCCCCAAGTAAGTGCTCATAGTGGTAACAGCTATAGTGTCATATAGGCATTTAATTACTACTTTGGAGCTCAGTGGGAAATGGCAGCCCCTGCCTGGCAGAGAGGCAAGAAACTGCTGCTCAGATGTGCCTGGTTTTTTGAGTGCCAGCATCTACTGGCCCTTGCTGAGCTCCTACAGGCACATTTAACCTCCAGTTTGGAAAAGGAAAGCGGACTTTGGCACATCACCTTTGGAAGGTTGCTGACTGTGCTACATTTGTACGAAGTGTGGACAGAAATTCACATCAGTTCTTGTACTGTTTCACTTCACCGTGCTGTGCCAAGACCAAGAGAAGATTAGTATCTTTGTCAGACTTAACAGAGGCTTTCCTCAAAAAGAAACCCTTTGATCAGGAATCATGACAGCAATTCCTAAGACAGTTTCTCACTCAAGATGCTGAACTTTTACCAATCGCTCATAAGTTATAATGAATAGCAAATTATTTGGGTTTGTTTCTTCTTTAAAGGAGGACAAACATGATATATTATCTGAATCTAGGGAGGAGTATGGCACCACAAAGTCTCTGTCACTAAATATTTTAAGCTGTTAAAAAGAACATTTGAAAACATTGGTGCTGTAATTACTTGGAGAGAAACTTTTTGTCTGGTTACCACAATACAGTTACCACAATACTATTTTCTGGTTTTTGCAAATACAAAAAATGTGATATCTGAGTAGACACAGCAAAGTAACATTTTGTTTTATTTAAAATAATGTTAAATCTTCTGAGGTATGTAATTTCCATTAATTTTTCTATCACTAAATAAATCTCCCTGTTATCCAAATTTGTTTAATTTCCCAGTCATGAAAAAGATAAAAACAGGAAAACAAGAGTATTTCAACAAGCATTTCGACTTACTATTCTTCATCGTTATATTTTGAGGTTTTAGCTACTGCAACTTTTGATGCTCTCATACTGTAAACGTTTAAGGTGAAGGTCTATTAGCTGTTTTCCACTGCCTCATGTGTTCATTTATGGCATTAATCTGTAAATAATAAATAATCAAAGTAACACAGCTGAGATAATTTATGAAATATTCCGAGCTTAGCAGAGATTTTTTTTAATTCTGTTTATTTCTTTTTTATAAAGGAAATGAAGGGTTTGCATGGGCTTGTCTGGCATGACCTTCACAGGGAATGAAGTGATGCTTCCTTTTGCCAAAATGCGATTCCAGACTTACAAGAAACACAGGTTAGACTATGCCTATCTGTTTGGAGCAGAGTGGCTAGAAGATGAAGTGAATACTACACCTGGGAAAGTGGGTTCTTTCCTAGAAGTAGGGCTCTGCACATGGATTTTCAGGTTGATACTGGCAGCTAAAATCGATCAAAACTTTCTGCTGTTTTGACAGTGGTTTCCACTTCACATTTCAGGGGTTTTAAATGGTGTGTGCTTTCCTTTTCATCTTCAACTGAGTGGCAGCGATTTACAATAACAGCAATAAATAAAGCTAACAGAAGGCCTGGCAGAACGTTTTTGACCCCCAAAGGTACAAATATATTTCTCTTCATATTTTGACTGTCTCTCTCCAAGCTGCTTCATTTTCTCTGGAAGCAGGAGAGAACTGCTCCTACAATCCATAAATGAGTCTCCTTGGATGAAAAGCTACCTGTGCTTTTCTCCCATTAAGTGGGCACCAGATAGCCTAACCCAACTGGTCAGAAGCTGCTTGGCATTAGTAATACAATTTTTAATTTGTTGTATTTGGCTAAGAGATTTTAGGCTATTTTTTCCTAGCTTTTTATGATTTATGATGAGAATTAACTCTCAGTAACAGAGACTGCAGTTAACTAAAGGGATCAGTGTTAGGCATTTCTATATAATATATTGTCTTGCTGGTCTGTAGTTAGGTACTGTGCCATTTTCCAAGACAACAAGAGGCTATAAGATCAACAAAATGAGCCCAAGCCATCTGATCCTTCTACCTCTGCTAAAGGTTTTTATCTTCAACATGAAGGCAGTTGCTAGCATACACAGGATAAATTGTCAAGCAAAAGGAAGCAGACAACATTGTTTTCACAGCACATAAGTACCATGCTGGATGTGATTTCATGCATACATTACTAAGTGTTAGTAAAACCAGAACAGACACCCACTCCTGGCAATAAAATTCTTTCTGTTGCTCCTTTGGGACCAATGATTTTTTTATACTGTTGCACAGCTGGTTTATGTGTGCCATTTCCATTGGGCAAAGCCAGTCCTCCCGCTTATGCCTTGGAACAGTTTAATGGTTGGAAACTTGTCTGTAGAGCAGCTTCAGCAGTTTTTTAGAGTTGGAAGGTCTAATATTTAAATGATAGCAATGGGAGATCAATTTTAAGTCAGGAAAAAAAGCTCTATAAAAAAGAGTTTTGAGTGAAATTTGCTATCACTTTTACAGCTCAGAATGAGAATTCTGGTTCCAATGTCATTATTTTCTTCTCTTGCATATATTCCGAATAATTTACTGTTTTCATTACAGTTGCCACATTTAAAACCAAAGTGGATGCATTGCAGCAGTGTATGATGTGATTCTTGTGTATAGCTTGCCCATACTGTTTAGTTAAGATTGCAAAAGTGCTTCCAGATCCTATTGATTGAAAGAATTTTTAAAATATAGATTGTCTATCACTACGTTGAGAAATATGGGTGTGGGAAGATGTGCATTTTGAAATGGTGGCAATGTGAGGGTTTTCTTTTTTTCTTTTATTTGCAGCCAGGAATCCTCCCTTTTGGAGACTGGAGAGAGAGTTTTGCTTGTGATGGCTGAGTAGCCAGCAAGACAAGAATTTAAGTCCTTTGGGTATATTCAAGCCAGATACAATCCAGACAAATGCAGTACTTGCTCTGTGTGCTGGAACAGCAGCTTCAGCCTTGACCTAATGAAGCTATCATTTCTAGCAGTGAGAAGTGATTTACTTGTCAGGCTGCTGAGACCAGAATTTTTTCAGATTTGAGGACAGCTCTCTGTGCCAAATTCTAGTATATGTATAATGACTTTTATTTTATTTGAGTTGTAGTACAAACTGCAAAGGAAAAGCTGCAACTAGCATCACTCTTTCTGCAAACCAAAGAATTTGATTTAACACTCAGATAAATTTGTGGGTATAAGTATATAAAATTTCAGAACTTTACATTTGAAAAACTGGCAGCAGTTTCCATTCTAGTAATTTAATGTTCACGTGTCTGAATTGTACATGTGGGCAGTCAGTCAAAGGGATCACAGATGGATGAATACTAACAGTCGAATGGCTGTTAGCTTTATAGTCAGCAGAATGCCAGTTTAGCTTTTAAGTCAGGTTAACAAACACCTTATGTATATAAGCTTTATAATCCAGTACCAGTTATTAGACCTTGAAGTATTTCAGCATGAGTTGTATATTGCTTTTAATGCCTGCATAGACATAAGCATAATAGAGCACCTTGTAGAAGCATGACTTTGCCATTCAATAACGCAGAAAAAACCTGACTAATCCGTTATCTGGTAACTGGCAGGCATACATTATAGAGGAGCATGCTCTTACAGTTTTTTGGGTTTTGGTTTATTGGGACATTTTGTTTTTTTGTGGAGGGGCTTTGGAGAGGTCTGGAGGCGGTGGTTCTTGGGGTTTTTTTGTTTGTTTTTTGAGGGTGGGGTTTGGGTTGTTTGGCTTTTTTTCCTGTTAATAGCAGAGATCACAGTATCATGCCTTGCTGCTATTCCTTCTCACCTATTTGTTTTGCTGGTGATACTCAATCCTTTCAAAGGAAAGAAAAGATTAATACTATTAGTTTTTTGGCTTGCAAAACGATAGTTCTGTCAGTTGTAATAGTTGTGTCACAGAAATATATAGAAATAGATGAATAAATTACATACTGGTATTGAAATACTTAATATGGAATGGATCTTCAGCTGGTATAAAATGCTCACCAAGTAGCTTCATATTTCATGTAATACACCCCAAATCCAAGAAATATTTTACTGTTGTGTCTGTACAATCAGACAGGTTTTTTTCAGGTGATTAAATGCAAAAATGTAATAAATTAAGTTTTGTTCATCTTTGACATCTTACATCCTTCTAGTTCATTATTGTCTCCAGCTTAATCTGCTAGTTTTAAAAAACTCTTCTAGAAAATGTGGCACTTTCAAATGTCTCGCCTTTTCATGTCTGTGAACTGCAGATCTCCTTCCTTTCTGTCTTCTACTACTACCACCACTACTCTTCCTCCTGTTCAAGGGCATTTTTGTGGATGACATTTGCGAGGCTTGGGAAAGAGAGACTTTGAAGAAAGAGGGCACTCAGGAAAATGTTTCTGCTATTGATGTGTTATTTCACATGTATATTCCTTTTAAGAGAATACATTCCTTTTAAGAATATACATTCTTTCTTTCCTTAACTGTTATTACCCAAATATTTTTAATACAATGTTTACATTCTCCCTAGCAAAGGAGAAACCTTTGCTCAGGAGAAAGACTAGATGACCTCTAATGTCCCTTCCAGCCCAAATGATTCTATGATTCTATGATTCTATGAAGCATTGCTAGGTTTTCTTTTAAATATGGATCAGCGTTTTATCTGCTGACTGGACTGTTTCTAGCGAACACAGAAGAAATACGACTGATAAAGTAATGTTTTCAATAAACTGCAGTTGTAAAAAGGACAAGGTGAAATGCTGGTGCTATACAAGTCAGAAGAAATGATCTATTGGTTTCAGTATGCACATAGTTCTTTCTTACTGTTTTCTATTTCTGTTTACGTCACTGGCAAAAACAGGGATGTTTGAAGTTACCTTAAAAAAAATAAATTCCTGTGATTCTGAGACATGTAAAGACTTTGTTCTGGTCAATTGCTAACTTTATACAAGGGAAATTACATGATATCTTGCATTCTTATGGGGCCAGGAGGACAGAAACGTTTGAAAAGGAGGAACATAAATTTGGTCATTTGCTTTTAGACCTACCAAAAATTGGTGATTAGAACTTCAAAATATTTCTAATCATGTAATACACTTTGTCCAAAAGAGCTATTTCATTCAAGTTTTTTTTTGATGACTGTCAGAGTCTTTTATAGATGCAGAATGAAGATAAACATATTTAATGTTAGAATTGGGTTTACTTATATCTGATCATTTATGAAGTCATATTCTCTGAAACACTTTAATTCTATCCCATATGTTATGTATACATAATGCATGATGCATAGTACTTCTGGGAGATAACCTGAATAATTCACCTACAGTAATATGATCATGTTGCACTTCAGATTGTAAATGTTTTATTGCCATAATACATTGTCATACAACATAAAAAAACCCTAACATTTTAAATCAGTGAAGGTGAATACTTAATAAAGATATTGGATTTATGAATCATGATTCTGTTTATATTTGTTGTACCTAAATTTCGTTTTCTATCTACTAAATGATAGAAGTAAATGAAAAGTTGTGTTAGAGAACAGTACAAACCATTTAACTAAATTAATCTCTTAAATTTATCCCTTCCAATATAAATAGCTTTGTATATTTTAAGATGGAGTTGTTGGCTACTGCACAGGTAAGGAAATAAGTGTAAGAACAGTCCTTCTCCAAAGCCAGAAAAAAGTAAAGGGAACTGGCTTGCAAGCTGATTGAAAAAACGAGTAAGAAGAAATAAGGAATTCTCAGTATTTTGAAAATTAAGTTAAATTTCCAGAATTCTTAAACTCAAGTATGCTTTGTAATTTTTATGGCCAAAAGTTAGGCTGAATTATATGTGTGAGGAAACAGGGGCATCTATTACTATTTAACTAAAATGGCATGTGTAAGGAAACAGGAGCATCCATTGTTATTTAACCAAGAGTCCTGTTAAATAACAGGAATAAGCCATTACTTCACATCTGCTGATCTTTAAAAGGGAAATGCTGTCCTTATTAATTCTGAATGTGTCTGTTTGCCTGAACTAAATGATGGAATTTTTCTTTGAGGCCGTTTGTCATAGGGATTATCTGATGAACTTAGTATGCCTGGAAAGTTTATTTAACAGCTCATTTACCATTATAAAAAGATGCAGGTGAACCATGCAGTAAATTAATGTCTGGTGTCCCCTCTGCACACCTCCAGTTTTATTTCTGGCAAGTAAGTGGTGGCTCATTTGGCTAAAAAGTTATATGAAAAATTTTTTTTCAATCAGGTTGGGTTTTTTTGGCTACAGGTTCATAACATGCCTTAATTACTATGAATTTCCTTTATTCTGCCTGATATACTTTCAGGGTTTTTTGAGTCACACTGTTTACTTTTACTTAAATTTTGATTTTACAGTTTCCAAATACTTTGTCATCAATGCTTGGCTACCACGGGCATTAAAAAAAAAGTAGGAGTTAAAGAGTAGGATGAAAAAGTAGGAGTTAGTATATAGCAAATTGGACTTTCAGAAGCTCAGTTGCAAAATTTCCATTGATTCACATTACTCGGGGCCGGGATATTATATAGTAGGTCCACAAGCAGGACCTAACGTTCGATATGGGAAAAGGTTCAATATTGGAACCTCTGACTGTCTTGACTCTAGGCTCAGCACAAAGATAACTGAAGGAATAAAATCTCACTTGATATTGACCAGAAATTAAACCAGGATAGTGAAATAAATCACAGAGGTAGCTAATTGCTTTTTGTTGTTCTAAAAAAACCCTTATCATTACATCTTAATTATATTTAAGCTAAGTAGGTGTTTGTGTCCCATGGTGGTAGATGTCAATACTAGAATTTTGAAGAAAGATTCAGCATGTAGAAACATAATTTTAACATCTTGAGAATTGTCTGGCAGCACCAAAAACATATTCAGTGTTTCCACCGTACAATTCTGTGATGACTGTATAAAGCTGCTTGTAGAACACAAGTGTTTTGCACTTACTATGTGTTTAAAGCAGTGAATGACAGAAGTAAAAGAGGTAGTCTAGTACATTTTGATAAAGCTTCATAATGTTTGTGAACTACCAACAAGGCAGAATAGTGACAAAACTAAATGCTAACACAATTTTTATTTCAGTAGAGTTTGAATTTCTAGAATTTACAAGAAGCCATATCACTTATTGGAAATTTTTGCCCGAGTTTTCTTCAGTGTATTGAGAGTGTTTAATCCAGCTCATGTATGCCTGGTAAATACATAAAATGAAGGTGATCTTTACCTTACTGAAGGTGATCTTTACTTTAGAATCTTTTTATTTGTTTTAAATTCCAGATCCATCTGCTCCACCAGCTCCATCTAATATCAGAATTGCCAATATCAGTGCAAACAATGATGGGAGTGTAAATGTAATGATTTCTTGGGATCTTCCAGAAGAGCCTGATATCCCAGTGCACCACTACAAAGTCTTCTGGAGCTGGACATATAGCAAATATGTAATCCCAGCTAAAAAAAAGAGAAGGAAGATTACCGATGGGGTAAGAAAAAAAATAGCAAATGAGACAGAAATATGACTTATTTGTGGAACAAAATAGAGTGTAAGTATAAAATATGTGATAAATTGCAATGATTTCAGCAGCTGGTAATGTAATGGTCTTAATTTTTGATATCACGAACCTCATAGATAATTTTGATCTCTCAATCCCTACCTTTCACTGAACTCAGGGAGAGGAGTAGACTTCTGCCTTAAAATGCCAGTAAATACTATAAGATTTTGCAGGAGAGATGAATAGAAAGTTAAATGCTGTTTGTCCTCTAAATTCAGGCTTATTTTATTAGTGCTTCTTAAAGATACAGTGCTTGTTTAAAAAGCCAAACATCTATCACGTTGTTCTTTCACTATGGAAACAAAACTTGTGACACTATCATATAGAGTAACTGTTAAATAGCTGGTATAGGTCCAAGGAAAAAATAAATGCCAAACTCTTTAAATAAGCTGCTGTACCAAAGATCTGACATATTTCCATAGCAGCAAGTTTCTATGAGTTTCTTGAATGATGTATCAAATATTGCTTTACTGGAAAACTATCTGTTGTGATATCCTTAAGCATATTGCATATTATTTTAAAGTAGTTAGTAGAAATAGAAATCAATTACAGATAACAAGGTGAACTTAATTCTCAGTGCTTTTAATAAATGCATTGTGACAATTTGGTCCCATGTCTGTGTTAACACTGTGTTTTGGCTCTGGCTGCCCACTTGTACCCTGATGAATGACAGCCGGAGGGTTATAGTTCCCTCTCTGTCTCTCATTCACCAAACCCTGAGAGAAATAAAGGCAATGAAGGCTGTGTGCTGAATTCATGCAAATAAATATGCACGGGAAAAAAAAGTTAGTTCCTTGTACTTTTAAAAAATCACATTGGCAAGATAGGAGTAGGGTTGGACTGTGCTACGTAGAAAAGTTTGTGTTTCTCAGGAAAGCTGCTGTTGGCTAGAGACCTTCATGAGAGAGGCTACAGCCTAAAGATACAGGGAGCTTTCTCTCCACAAGCTGGTCCTTAAATCACAAAACCCAGAGAATTTTAAAATTGAGCTGGGTCCTTAATGTTGTGTTGGCACTTTGTGTAGGGTACATCCTACATGTAAATCTATTAAAACAGATCCAATATACAACATGACAGTAATCGGGACCAAGTTCTGATCTTGAATATAGGGAAATCCAGAAGAGCCAAGGCACATTTTAGAGAAGAGGCAGGCTCTTAGAGTATCTTTCGTGTTACTCCTGGCTCATTGTACTATTTCTTCTGCAACATGTCAGGAAACTTTACAGCAATGCCAGTGAGATTCAGACTTCCCTACAGGACACTCCAGATGCTATTGCTAATCAATGGTCATTTGAATAGTATAGCAACTCTTTGGTCTAAAAATGGAAAATGCAGGAAACTTATATAAAAAAAGAAAAGTGGAAAAATCTTATTTTTTAAAGATCATTGAAGATTTTTTTTGCCCAGTTTTTACCTTTAGATGTAGTCTAGTCCAAATAACTTTATAATTATTTCCATATGAAATCATTTGAGATAAAAATTAAAATAATTTGACTACAATACTAACACTGTTAATCAAGATGTATAGTCAATGTTATAAATATCTCAGCACAAAACAAGTATAGTTAATTAACATTAAATGGTTTAGACAGTCCCTGAACTGTTAAATATGGCTGTACATGGTTATCTTTTTCACTTTGGATTGACTGTCAAACTTCAGAGGCACAAAAAATTCTAATGAAAACATGGACTAATGTCTTCTGTCTAAGATATGGGCTAGAAGGACATTTTTATGAATACATTAAAAACATTTAGAAATGTAAGACTGCTGAGAAGCCTTGACGACTCTTTGCAATATCATGTCACTTGTCTTAGTTTATATACTATTGACTGGAGATTGATAATTCTACTGTGTTACTTCCCCATTTAAGACACTTCCATGACAATGGAAACTATTTTTTCTGTTCTGTTTTCCATTCTATAAAGGAAAAGTGTATTTACAAATGAGGGGGTATTTTTGGTTGTGGGTTGCTGTTTTTTTTTTCATTTTTGTTTTCAACAGTTGAAACAAATGGAAAATATTGACAAATGTACTGAATGTTGGATTTTAGCTGTCTTCAGACTGGCTGTCTCTAGAAAAAGTTTTCAGTTGCTTTGCTAACACAGAAACTGGGGAATAAAAAGTTTAAATTTCTTTGGCTAAAATAATTTTGGAATAAGAATAAAACTTATTATACAGAAAAAGAAAATTTTTTTTGGCCTAAACAATAGATGTTTGTATTTGCCAAGGAATTGCCAGAATTATGTAAACATCAAGAAGGTTAGTATTTTTAAAATGACACAGAAAAATAGAGTACAATAAAATATATTTTTTAAAGAAAGGAAAATTTACTTTGTTGAACTTCATACGTGAGTTTTCTAATTTCAAAAAAATAGTACGCCTAAGATAACAGGCCTGCTTTTAATAAGGGCCGGTGTTTCAGTAATACTATAACTGCTTTGTGTATTTATTTTACTATAGGCCCAAAATTATGTGGTCCTGGAGGGACTCCAGCCCAACAGCAACTACAATGTAGAACTGCAGGCAGTAACACGTTGGGGTCAGATACGCCTAAAAAGTGCTAAGGTTTCTCTTCATTTTAGCACGACTCAGGACACCAGGAGTAATAGTGAGTAATTATATTCAAACACCTGAATGCTTTATCTTTTCTTTACCTGGAATTTGAATGGTTTATATAATGATTTCTCAAATTTAAAAAAATAATTTTCTTAAAGCGAACTGCTTGATAGCACAGTGATCCTGTCTCAGTCAAGTTGAATAATGTTAAATTTCTCATCTACAAATTGGTGACAATTTTTGCCCAATTCTTTGTCTTACATCCTACTCACCTAAAATAAACAATTGCAATGAAAATAGAAGCATATGCATGACATTTTTAAAATGTAATACAGGTGTAAATACTGACTATATTTGTCAGTGGCTCAAATAAATACCATTTCTGTGTCTTAACTGGACAATTTTAGCTTGCAATGTTTTTCAGAATCCTGACTGTTTTGAGTAGCCCAGTAATTCAGATTCTTGGACCACACAAATATGTATCTACTATGAATTGATATAAAACATCAACTCTTCTATTAGGGAATCTAAAATGTTCCATGCCTGACAAGCAGTGCATTCTCAAAATATTGCACACATAGGATCCATATTCAAATATAAAATCTTGAGATCTTTAGATGTCAGGTTATATCTTCTTAAAGTCTTTACAACCTCACATGCTACGTAATATAATTGAATAGTGTATCTGAATCTGAGAGTAAACCACGATTCTTAGTCTTATTTAAATGATATTGTACAATTACAATACAATACTGAGTTATTGTCCCAACTGCTGATATGTTTCTGATTAACTAATTCAGAAAAATTCTGATAATAAGATGTTAAAGAATAATTTTAGATATCCTGCCCTGCCTCCATTTCATTTTCCATCCATTTACATTCTCTTTTTAAAGTACACTCAAAGTTTGAACTTGTCTCCATTTTCATAACATAACTGTAATTACTCTCACCCTAACTAATCAATTGCTATTGTTACTGGACCCTTCTGCAAGCATATTCAGTTTGGATATACATAAAATATTTTAAAATTGTTGTTAGCTATGACCGACCTTCATATCTACAGTTGCTTCCCATATTAATATACCAGGAAGAAAAAATAGACCTAAATATCCTTATTTTTCCCATGTTAAGCTCATTTTTACTACTTTTTTTTGGCCATCTTAAGAGACAGCAGAAGGTCAAGTTTTCATCTCTTCAATACGCTGAGTATTTGCTTGAAATCCATACCGGAATATGAGCTTGAATCTCCACAGTAGGTACATAAGGCAAGCTTGGGTTAAATCCTCAGTGAAGCCCAATGTAAGTGAACATAAGAGTTCTGCCCTTCCATACTGGCTGTCCTAGATTGTACCTGTGCTTTCTGTCATCCCCCAGAAAAGTGACCTCGTTTGCAGGACTGTGCATGATATCAAAAGCTTCTTTGACGTTACTACGTATAGTTTTCCTTTCTTTTCTGTACGTACACAGGAGATGTAAAAGAAGAAAAACTATGGTGGGAGCTGGGTGTGTAATTCCAGTACACTCAGCCACTGAGCTCAATTAGAAGCGTATCGTTGGTGTTTATGAGAGATGTTCTCATTTTGCTGAGTATTTCCCTAAGAATTTTTTGTTGGGTTTGCTTCTTTTTTTCCTCCTTTTTTCTTTCACCCTCACAAATTACATTTTGCTAGATGAACAAGCCAAAATTTCTGTGTTTTTTTTTTTTTTTTAACACACACAGTCTTCTCTCTTCTGATTAGAAATTTCTGTGAAGTTCTGGATCTCAGTGCTAAACTTTAACGTGTTTAGATTTCAGTTCAGTCACTTGACTAGCTTTTCACCAGATTACATCACAGCTCTGAGAAAGAACATGTAGCTGACTTGACTTTACATCAGTTCACAGGAGAAGGCTGGTGCCTGGATTTCCCCTGAGTCTGAGGCTGGGCTTTGTCCTGGTAACTGGGAGGAAATTCTAGGTGCCATTATACACACCTAGCCAAAGTCACATTGGACAAGCTGTTGAATTTCTTCCTCTCATTTTACTATGAGAATAGCTTTATAAACGTTCCCTTCTTGGGAGCAGAGATAATCAATCAGCTGATGTTTTCCAAGCTTTATTGCTAGTCCTGACATTAGGTCAGATCGTCATAGTCTTTAAACATGATAGTAAACAAAGACTTTCTATATAACAAAAACCCCCTGAACTGAAGCTGAGTAATTGAGATTGGACTGTGTCAGTTTTGATGCTATTCTGTACTTACCGTGAGAAACCCTTTCGCTAGTAGTGCTGTGTCAACTCTCCATGGCCTCATTAATGGTCTGTCTCTCATGGTCTGTATCATCACTGGGTTTGTATTGGGAGAAGAATTTTGTTTCACTTTTCCCTCTCCAAAACATTGCATTTTTCAGAATCTGATGCAGATCACGTCGGAGTTATTACTTATAAATCATCTACTAAGTGGAGTTCATTTACCCTATACCCCACGTTTAGGTGTTTCATCATTTTCTATCCACTCCAGTGGCACCTCTTTCCTGTCATCATCACAGCTGGGTTTAAATTCCTTCCACAATTTTGCTTGGATAATCTGCGTTCTCCTTGATTTGCTTCAGAAAACAGTCCATCGGTAGTTTCTGTGAAAGTCTGCTATCTACTAATGTCTGATTAGTATAGACTTTCTAATGCCTTGTGCTTTACTTTGCTTTACTGTGGTGACCTTTTTGAACTAAAAGGTTCATTAATTATTGTATTTTTTTTTAAACTAGAATAATACCATACTAAGAGCAATATTTTTGTTTTCTTATATACTTCAAGTATTTGATTGTTATGTTCAAGTTATGAACATCCATTTAGTAAATGAGCATTATTTTCTTTTTAACTTCAATTCAGTGCATGTGAGAACTAAAACACGTATTTGTTTCACAGCAGAGTACTTCAATAATAAGTTCATAGACAAATCTGAGCATCCTTTCTGTTAAAGCCATGAAGTAAAGGATTCAAGATTCTTTGAGCCTGAACCACTGATGTCACACATTTTAATGGATAGAGCATTGTACTGAGAAGTGTATTTGGACCTTTTTGGACATTGTTAAAAAATGGATAAATTACAGCTTACATAGAAAAGCAAATAAAAACTACTCCTGGAGGAGATGCAAATTCATTTCTGAATCTCACTGTAGTTAGTCAGGTGCGGAGCCAGTCCTGCTTGAGGTACTTTTGAGAATACTCAGAAGCAGATGGAGAAATATGAAAAAGAAAAAAATATTGCCTGAAATATTATCTAGGACATGACATTCACGGCCTGTCTTTATCTGGGGACTTCCATGGCCTTTGGGAAGTAGTTCCAGAAGCAACATGCCAATTTTGCTGAAGTCCCACTGTCAGTTGCTCTGCTCTCTGTGGAATTAAGCTCTGGGTTTTTTAGGTGTCTGTTGCTATTGTTGAAATAGTAGTAGTAGTCCATGACGCGCTGAAGTAATTTAGTCCTACAGACCTCTGTGAGCTTTGACCCTGGCCCTCTGGCGTTGTATTTCCCCACACTCAGAAATACGTTACCTTACTGTATTTGTATGCTTCACTTCTGGGAAATGCAACAAGACTCTCTCTCTTGATCTTTATACAGAAGTATTCTAAATTGGTGTCCTGTTTTTTCTGGAAGTGGAGCAGAGAACAGCAAAGCAGAGATTTAGTGAAATTAAAATACTTTAAGTTGAGGTATACCTAATAGATTTAAGTTTATACTTCTCTCTGTCACTTTTTGATTTCCTTTTAGGTAGTATAAACATTCTGGTTACCTTGAGAAAGAATTTGCTTAAGTTTGGTAGTTTTACTTGAATTTAAAACAAGCAAAGAAAATGTAAAATTATATCAGATTAAGCAAAGGATCGAGAAGGTAAAATTCAACCAAAAAGCAAGTGGCTTTCAGCTGAAGCTATGTGTAGGGCAAAATGTTCAAGTTTGTATGTTACTCGTGATAATTATTGAAACCTGAGTATTTCCCTCTTTCTCTCAAGTATGTAATTAATGATTTGTCACTTCCTAATTATTGGAATTTTTAGTTTTCATTTAGATATAGTATTGAATTAAATACAATTTTTTTTAATCTGATGCAAATACTGTCCTCTTAATTGTAATGGATGTATTTGAAAGTGTGCAATGAAAATGCAGTTTGAATCTGCATTGCTGCCTTTTCAACTGAAAATATCTAGAAATACTGTCAACCCTGCTAAATGTTGATAAACTGTTGCCAAACAAAATGCTTGATTAAGGACATCGTGTTATCATTGCTTGTTGGAAACCAGGCACATTACACCAGGGGAAATGCCCAAAGTTAATTCTGCTCTTACAATGTTTTCATAAGCATTTGCTGTTCACTGTTGGAAACAGGGAAGTGGGCAAGAAAGATCTTTAATCTGACCACAGTGTTCTTATATAGCATACTAAAGGACTGTATTTGCTTTGATGTAATAACCACATGTGGCACTCTGTGGGTTACACTCAATGCGGTCCTTGGATTTTGTGTATATTCAAACACTGCGCGAATATAAAGACCATGAATGATTGTACAGAACTACTGCTAGATACTACACCTGTTTGAAAAGTCAGTGTGTTAACATTTCTTGTTCTTTGGGATATAAATACACTCCCTTATGATTCTTTTGAAAATTTACAGAGCATTTTCATATTATTCTTTTCATATTTATCTTTTTCTCTCTGTGTCTAAAATATTTTTTTGACTGAATTTCAAATGAATTATATGCTTTTCAGCCATTATGGATAGTTTGTTTGTTATATTAATTTCATTTAGGTAAGATACTAAAATAAGATAATTTGGATTAAAGATAATATT